GGTTTCTTTTGGGGTTACGGTGCTGTACGTGGGGTGGGTGTTGCTCAAGATTATCTCTTTTCGGATGGACTTTTTCAGTAGTACGTGGTAGATTCCTGTGGGAACTTCTCGAATGCCGGTCGTTACTGCTTGTTTGGAGCTGTGCCGGTGCTCTAGATGAATTCTCGTTCGTTGTTCTTTAGGGGGTAGAAAACGACTTCTTGAGACTGGTCCGTGACTTGGCTTTTTACTCTCTGGAGAGTTGGTGTTTTCTTCTCCTTGTTTTCGGTTCACAAACCCTTTTGTGAGTTCCTGCAAAAGAGAATCTACGAGAAAAGAGGGAATTATTGGCCTTTGGATTTTCTTGATATCTAGTTCTCAGATACCTCAAGTTTGATCATCGGGGGTTCCTCTCTTATATTTTTGGGGAACTGGGACGCAGTTTTTCTACTTGTCATAAAACTGCAAGGATAATCACCTGCTGTTTTGTCTTTGTTTTTTTTTTTTCTAGTGAGTGGTGTATTAAATTGCTGTTGTTACAATATGCAGGATTTGGGTTTCTGCACTCGTTCAAGAAGTAAACTCTGCTCTGCCAATTTTCCCATGGAGGGGGAATCTTACTTCGAGAAAGATGGAGTATATTCTAGATGCTCAATCTTGCTCGAATTATCTGCTTCGGACAATCTCTTGGCCTTCAAAAACGAAGTGGAAGTGAAGGGTTGTAGCGTCGATGCGGCTAGCTTTTGGTATGGCAGAAGAATTGGCTCAAGGAAGATGGGTCTTGAAGAGAGAACTCCTCTCATGGTTGCTTCCTTGTTTGGAAGCTCTAGGGTCGCGAAGTACATCCTCGAATCCGGCAAAATCGATGTAAATCGGGCTTGTGGTTCGGACAAGGTGACTGCCCTTCACTGTGCTGTTGCTGGCGGCTCCACTTCTGCGGTGGAGGTTGTCAAGCTCTTGCTTCATGCATCAGCTGATGCTAATCGTGTTGATGGCAATGGAAAGAAGCCAATTGATGTGATAGCTCTTCCTCTAAAGTCGCGCGGCAATTCAAGGAGGAAGCTGATGGAGCTGTTGCTGAAAGGCGTCAATTCTGATGGGGAATTCGAATCCCATGAGGAGAAGCCGGTTGCCGTACCGCAAGCATCCAAAGAGGGAAGCGAAAAGAAAGAGTATCAATTTCCTGTTGATGTCTCTCTGCCTGACATAAACGATGGGATTTACGGTACTGACGAGTTCAGAATGTATGCTTTCAAAGTAAAGCCTTGCTCACGGGCGTACTCCCATGACTGGACAGAGTGCCCATTTGTTCATCCGGGCGAGAATGCGAGGAGGCGTGACCCTCGCAAGTACCCCTACAGCTGCGTCCCTTGCCCTGAATTTCGGAAGGGATCTTGCCCTAAGGGCGACTCCTGCGAGTACGCGCACGGCGTATTTGAGTCATGGCTTCATCCTGCACAGTATAGAACAAGACTATGCAAGGATGAGACTGGATGTGCTCGCAAAGTTTGTTTCTTTGCTCACAAGCCCGAAGAATTGAGGCCTGTCTATGCTTCGACGGGATCAGCTATGCCTTCCCCAAAATCGTACTCATCGAGTGGGCTGGACATGTCCACACTGAGTCCTGTCTCACTCGGTTCTCCGTCGGTGTCATTGCCCATTACTTCGACACCACCCATGTCTCCTCTTGCAGCCTCATCATCTCCGATGTCTGTGAACCTGTGGCAGAGCAAGGCTAACAAACTCTCCCCGCCAATGCTGCAGCTCCCAGGTAGTAGGCTGAAGACCACATTGAGCGCTAGGGACTTGGACCTGGAGATGGAATTGCTTGGTTTAGAAAGACAGGCTCAACAGCATCAATTGATGGAAGAGATATCTCGTCTCTCCTCACCATCATCCTGCTTTAGTAGTAGGATTGGGGAAGTGAAACCCACTAACCTTGATGACGTTTTTGGGTCCCTGGATCCTGCTTTGCTGCCTCAATTGCAGGGGCTTTCAAGACCTTCGACACCAAGCCAGTTGCAATCTCCAACTGGGCTTCAGATGCGCCAGAATGCGACCCAGTTTCGTGGGGCATACTCGAGCAATGCAAACGCATTGTCATCTCCAGTGAGGAAGCAGGCACCTTCTTATGGGTTCGACTCGTCAAGTGCAGTTGCAGCAGCGGTCATGAATTCCAGGTCAGCCGCTTTTGCGAAGCGGAGTCAGAGTTTTATTGACCGAGGATTGGGGAGCCCTGGAATCGCCAATTCTTCCCCTATGATGTCTTCAACAATGTCGAACTGGAGCTCCCCTGATGGGAAATTGGATTGGGGCGTCCAAGGAGACGAGTTGAATAAGCTGAGGAAAGCTGCTTCCTTCAAGATGAGAAGCAACACTGTCTCGACAGCAGCTATGGCTGATGAGCCAGATATTTCTTGGGTCAGTTCATTGGTTAAGGACGCGTCTTCTGTGGAGGACGCGATATTCGCCCCAGAGAAAGGACAACGCGCTTATGGGAAAGACATCCGCGAAATGGTTCCTCCATGGGTGGAGCAGCTGTACAGAGAAGTGCCACGGATGGCGGCATAAGATTGCTGACCACAAGTCGGCTTCCTGATTATGCTGACTAATTGATATTCTTTGCATTTGTTTTTGGAGTATTTGGTAGCCATTAGATATGAGAAGAGGCCAGGCAAGAGCTGGTGTCTTGGCAAGGAATAGGATGCACATATTATGGTATCAAATAGAGTAGACTTGGGGACAATGGTTATAGCCAATTGTTCAAGCATGATATTCTTTTTCCAATTCTTTCTCTTCCTCATAGTAGGTTTCCCACCAAGTCTTTTAAGTGAGAACCTGGGTGGGATGTACTATATCCTTCTCTACTGTAATGTCTCTTAGTGGAAAGAAATGGCTTATGATAGAATTGTCCTTTTTAATTATTAGCGTCACTTTTTTTAATTTGATCAGTTGTTACATTTTTCTGTAGTCTGATGCATTATCTACGCCGGTTAATTTGTAACAGATTCTTTCTTACTTGGACCCATCCAAATCTCCCTATGATGAACCGATTGAGTGGAATCTTCTCCTTTGAGGATGATCCAAAATGATAAGTGTTCCCTATGCCACACGATTGTTTCGCGCTTCGAAACAAAACAATTAGAATTAGGCTCAGTCAATTGGAAAATTCCAAATCAGTACTCAAAATGGTGCCAAATTCTCAAAAAAGGGTTCAAATTGGACACAGTCTCAAATAGGGGCCCGAAGTGCCCAATTAGTTTCAAATAAGGGCTCGAAGTACCTAATTAATCTCAAACAAAGGCCTGGGTTCGCCAGTCGGTCAAATGCTTATAGGCCGGTGAGCACGTTACTGTTCCGACGACCGGAATAAGGATAGTTTAGTCTTTTTCTTTTTCTATTTTTTTCTTTTCCTTTTCCTTTTCCTTTTCCTTTTCTTTTTTTTTTTTACTCTTTTCCCTTCGCCGGCCATAGCCGGGGCCGGTGGAGATTGCCGGCCTCAGGCGGAGGCCACTGATAAGATGCTACCATCTATGCTACCTCCTCTTCCTCTCAAGACATATTTTTGGAAAAATAGAAAGAAGCAAGATGAAGTGGCGTTAAAGGAGATAGTGGCTGAACAAGTCAAGCCATGTATGGGAGAAGTTAGAGAAAATCTTGGGAAATCAGCCCTACTTTCCCAAAGTGCTTCGTAGGTTTTAGTAGTGGGTTAGTCTTTCCTAGAATTTAGCAAGTTGTTTTGTTTATCTTTATTTAAATGCTTCGGTTATGCACAGTTGAAGATAGAGAAAATATTATTATCTATTGTTCCCTTTCAATCCCAATTCTCCTCTCTCTCTCTCTCTCTCTCTCTCTCTCTCTCTCTCTCTCTCTCTCTCTCTCTCTCTCTCTCTCTCTACTGTGGGTTGCTACCAGCCACCCTCGTCGGCGTCGGGCGAGGGCTGCCCTCGCCTGGGCTGGGCGGGCGAGGGCGGCCCTGGGTTTCCCTCGCCCGACGCCGGCAAGGGCGGCCCTAGGTTTCCACTCAACGGATCATGCTAATGTGTAGCATCATCCTTGTTCGCGAGGCGGCTCCTCTCGGTGCTGTGATTGGCGTCGCCAACTTCGACCCCGTCAAGAGAAGCTGAGAGTAGAGAGAGAGAGAGTGAGCAACCCAGGCGAGAGAAACCAGGGCCGCCCTCGCCGAGGGCGGGCGAGGGCGACCCTTGCCAAATCCGGCGAGAGCAACCTTGCTCTCGCCGGATCTAGTGAGGTTGCCCTCGCCGACCCAGCCCAGGCGAGGGCGGCCCTCGCCCGACATCGGCGAGGGTGGCCTCCGCCTGAGGCCGACAACCTCCGCGGGCCCTGGCTATGGCCGGCGGAGGGAAAAGAGTAAAAAAAAAAAACAGAAAAGGAAAAGGAAAAGAAAAAGAAAAAAACAGAAAAAGGAAAAAAAAAAAGACTAAACTATCCTTATTCCGGTCGCCTGAACAGTAAGGTGCTCGCCGGCCGGTGAGCATTTGACCGGCCGGCGAACCTAGGCCCTTGTTTGAAACTAATTAGGCACTTCGGGCCCTTATTTGAGACTAATTGGGCACTTCGGGCCCCTATTTAAGACTGGTTTTATTTTGAACCCTTTTTTGAGAATTTGGCACCACTTTGGGTACTGATTTGGAATTTTCCCGAAAATTTTTTGATCTAGAAAAACTTTATCCGCAATTAAAAAAATTATTATGGTGTCGAGAAAAAACGATAGAAATCTCCTAAGAAAGCACTTCCAGGGACCAGCTGCGGAAAACTATAAGAATTCTCAATAGTTGGTAATTTGCAGCGTTGAAACTCTTCGTAACTGACGTTTTTGTCTCTCGTCGAACAAAATTCGCGTCATTTCGTGAGACAACACCACACGGATTTTGACGGTGGCTTTGCATATCGGAGTCACGGGAAATTAGGATTTTGTATCATCCTCACTTTTAAAATTCTCTTTTCAGCGAAATAAACCCACCCTACTTGCAAATGTAGGCACCATGAAATTCCGCGTATTTTAGATTGAATATTAAGACAATTTACACTAAAACTTAGCGATAGAAAATCAATAGAAGAGACCGACCCAGATCTGCAACCTCTTGTCTGTTTTTGTCTCCATGTTACCACACTAAAAAGACATGAACAGCATGATTAGCTAGTAAAAGACATATCCAAAGTACACCGTTTGTTTGCTATCTCGGATATTCTGATTCTAACTGATGTGAAGTTAAAGTAAATAATGATATAAGTAACTCCGACTATTCATCTTCTTCAGCAGATGCAGATGTACGATGTGGGAAACTCAGACCGGACGTCGGACTAGGTCCTCTCACCGAGAATCAACTCGTTCACAACGAAGACCGCTTTCTCCGGATGTAATCGAACTTGATCTTGGCTGTCCCTCTCTCGAATGGTCGCACCAACTTGTGCATCGATAGTGTTTGCAAAGGGCACGCCAAGCTCATCGTTTATCGCTGACGGAAACAGATTCCTAAAACATAATACAAAAATTTGCGGAAAAACGTGCCCATTTTCATACTTGAATCACCGATCGTTTGAAGTATATTACATGAACGAACATACTTCTTTTGCCACAGATTAAATGCACCACTTGCAGGCTTCAGAGTTCTTGGCGGATTCCTCTGCGAAGCGGAACTTTGTTTGCACTTTGGGAGACCTTTTTTAGAACTACGTTCTACAGAGAAAATTTTTTAGATACACAATCACGTATCTTCTGAATATCTCCCAGTTCAATTTAAACTGCCCTTAGCAGTTACTACTTTATCCGTAACCGCCTTATCCGCAAGTAATCCCTCAATGGATGATGGGCCAGCATGATAGATCATGGACCGGTCTTTCCCAACATGGGCGGCCCACATAAGATCCACCATCTCCCACTCGCACATGGTGGGCTAATCATAACTCTCTCTTCTCTGCAATATTCATACTAGCAAATAATCCGTGCGACCAACATACTTCGAGAGCTCGTTGCGATGCATCTGTTAGGAATACATAGCAGCTCAAAATTGGGTACAACGTTTTCCGAGTAGATATAGTATGCAGTCCCCTAGATCAATCAGTCACATTTATATCCCTTTTGATCTCTTTTAGTATCTCGTATATTGTATTCACAACTATGATTTACTTAAAATCATAATTGGTCGACCTGTGAATACAAACATAGAATGTGACATCATAATAAATTGATCTTCCTCTTTCCTTCAATCTCTCTATTTCAGTCCAGCTCGCTTTTCTAGAAATGCCCCATTAGATCGAATCATTCATGACCATTGGCAACATCCTAAGATAGCGAACACTGAATAGAAACTTTGAGAATAAGTTAGAGTCATGAGGGCACTAAATGCGAAACTCATATTCTCAAGAGTCTCACACGGCATAAAGTTGAGATCAAAAACTTTTGCCACTCTTATCGGTCGTCTTATGCATACGTAGTATGAAATACGTATTACGGTATTAACTCCTTTCCCGTGGAGTGTATGTCTTTACATTCAATACCGTACAGATGATAGTTCAGACATACCTAATGTCTAAACTTGAGTTCACGTATCTACTCCTCTAAAGAATCCATTAGAACTCACATCTGGCATCAAAGACAGATAAAGTAAAATATGTGGGTTATTTTACTTTCGGACATAGTAAATGTTATGTCCTCATCTTGGCACTTAGCTAAGGCAACATTTTTATTTTAAGCTTGAGCTCTCGATTATCACCTAGATAATAAGCCTAAAAATTGTCTCATCTCTATTTATCGCACAGTAAATAGAGGCGATTACCCGTGTAAGTGGGCTAATCTCATCTGTCAGACATACTTTCTCGATATAATGCACTAAGCATTAAGATGCATAAATATTAAATAAATTCATAGGCATTAATAATGATATAACAATTTCATTTAAATGTGAACATTCAGGGAAATTACAATATTCAGTACATCAGCATCTACGCAATCCTAGAGATTTTACATGACCATTGAAAACATCTCTAGGAATTGGCTTCGTCATAGGATCTGCTATCATTCTATGCGTAGATATGTACTGCAAGTTCACATCCTTTCGTGTTACCATATCCTTGACAAAGTTATACTTGGTATCTATATGTTTGGTCTTGCCATGATATTTCGGATCCTTGGTGTATGCTATTGCTGCTTGACTATCACTATTGACTAACAATGAGTTTTCAGCACTCTTAGCAACACCTAAATGATCCAAAAATCTCTTAAGCCAAACACCTTCTTGTATCTTGCTCCGACAACGCCACGAACTCGGCTTCCATCGTGGACAATGCTATACATGTTTGTTTCTTCTTGCTCCAAGATATGGCGCCATTATTCAGTAAGTAAACAAAACCAGAGGTAGATTTCCTTTCATCTAAATCTCATCCCCAATCAGCATCTGAGTAGCCTTCAAGTCGCAGATCCTTGCCTTGATAACTCAGTGAATAATTAGCAGTACCCTTTAGATACCTCATGATTCTTTTTACGGCTTTCCAATGTGCTTGACCTGGATTGGATTGGTACCTACTTACCATCCCAACGCAAAACATATGTCGGGTCTTGTACACATCATAGCGTACATTAAACTTCCAATAGCACTAGCATAAGGAACGCGTTTCATTTGTTCCTTCTCTTGTGGAGTCTTAGGACACAACCTATGGCTCAATCCTTCACCTTTTGCAATAGGAGTATCCATGGGTTTACAGTCTTGCATACAAAATCGTTCAAGAACTTTATTTATATAAGTCTCTTGCGAAAGAGACAATAATCTCTTGGAACGATCTCTTGAAATCTTAACTCCAAGAATATATGCAGCCTCACCCATATCTTTCATCTCAAAATTGGACGATAACCAACTCTTAATAGTATTAACCAACTCCATATTGCTTCCGGCAATCAGTATGTCATCAACATATAATGATAAAATCACAAATTGATCTTTGGATCTTTTGATATACACACAATGATCTTCATCAATCATTGTAAAATCAAACGCCACTATGGCATTATGAAAACGTATATACCATTGTCTCGAAGACTGCTTAAGGCCATATATCGATCTTAGAAGTCGACATACTTTTTGTTCTTGGCCTTTCACAATGAAGTCTACTGGCTGCTCCATGTAAATTTCTTCTTCTAATTCTCCATTTAGAAAAGCAGTCTTTACATCCATTTGATGTAATTCAAGATCCATGCTTGTCACTATTGCCAGAATAAGGCGAATTGAGGTAAATCTCACTACGGGAGAGAAAGTTTCTTCATAATCAATTCCTTCCCTGTTGATTATACCCTTTCGCCACTAGGCGAGCCTTATATCTTTCTATTGAGCCATCGGATTTGCGTTTTATTTTGAGAACCCATTTATTCCCAATAGCTTTGCGTCCTTCTGGAAGATCAACCAGTTCCCAAACATGGTTTAACTTCATTGACTCCATTTCTTCTTTCATTGCAATCATCCATTTTTCTTTGTTAGGGCAATTTAGAGCCTCATTTACATTCCTTGGCTCGTCTTCATTTTGTGGAGCGATCATGAAAGTTTCCCCTTCAATGTCAAAACGTCGTCGGGGAATACTTTTGCGACTTGTTCGCCGTATGGGAGATTGTACACGTGGTATATCATTCTCCATTATGCTCCAACTTGGATTAGATAATGACGAAATCGTCTCATTAAAAGGTTGCAATTGAGATTGAGTCGAATTCAATTTCTCATTTCTCACATTGCTTCCACTTGGACGAACTTTATCGATTTCACTATCAGGATCCAAGGTTTCAAATAGTGAGTAGTTCTCACCTATTTCGCCCTTCTTAGGAAACTCATTCTCTAAGAATGTGACATCTCGTGATTCAAATTCAGTTATACTCCCACTTTCTTGCTCACCTATAAATACATATCCTTTTGAGGTTTCCGAATACCTTATGAAGATACTCTTCTTACCTCTAGGACCTAATTTCCCATACTTATGAGAAGATTCATGTGTATAAGCGGCACAACCCCAAGGTTTCAGAAAACTCAAATCGGGTTTTCTACTTGTCCATAACTCATACGGAGTGGAAATAACTGATTTAGAAGGCACACGGTTAAGTATGTAGGCAGCAGTTAATAAAGCGTCACCCCAAAAGGTGATTGGTAAGTTAGCCTGCGCCATCATAGACCTAACCATTTCTAGTAGGGTTCTGTTTCTCCTTTCCGCAACACCATTTTGTTGAGGAGTATAGGGAATAGACAACTGTCTTTCTATTCCCTTTTCATCACACAAATTTCTGAACTCATCAGATAGATATTCTCGACCTCGATCGGATCTCAATGCTTTTATTTTCTTATCTAATTGATTTTCCACCAAGTTCATAAATATCTTGAAGCAACTAAAAGCCTCAGATTTATGAGAAATCAAATAGACATATCCGAATCGAGTATAATCATCAATAAATGTGATAAAATAAACAGCCCCATGTCTAGCCCTCACATTCATTGGACCACAAATGTCAGAATGGATTAACTGCAAAGGAAATTCAGCTCTTGTTCCTTTTCCAAATGGTTTCCTCGTTATTTTCCCAGCTAGGCAGTGTTCACAAGTGGGCAAATCGACTTTTTCAATATTGCCCATTAAGCCTTCTTTGGCTAATCTATTCATTCGTTGTTGGCCTATATGGCCAAGCCTAGCATGCCATACGTTCACATCATTATCACACGAAGTAGAAGACGTGAAGTGGGAATAACAAACATTGACATTTACAGAATCAACATCCAGTACAATAAAACCATCTAGAAAATAACCACAACCATAATAACTCGTACCTAAATACAAGTCAACACCATTGTTATGGAAGTTCAAATTAAAACCAAGCTTAATCAACACTAAAACAGACACTAAGTTCCGACGAATTCCCGGAGCATATAATACATCATGTAGGAACAAAGTGCGTCCACCACGCATAATTAACTGGCAGGTGCCAATTCCTTTAACCTCAGCTCTGGAGTTGTTCCCTACATAAATCCATTTAGTTCCCGTTGGAACTCGTCGGAATTCTATGAAGGCTTCTCTATCCTTCGCTACATGGTCTGTTGCTCCCGAATCTACGGTCCACAAAGGATTAGACTCAGTTAAAAATACAGAACTTGACACATAGACAAAGTTCTCAAGAATGCAAGGGGAGTTTACCTTCTTTGGCTCGCCGCAATCGCGAGCGAAGTGGCCATTCTTGCTACAGTTGTAGCATTTCACCCTCGACATCTTCTTAACAAAAGAACGTTTTCCTTTGTCATGTTAATTAAATTTTGGTTTCTTACCCGAAGAACTTGCTCCCTTGCCTTTCCACTTCATAAACCTTTCGACGCGCTTGCGCTTGGAGCTCGAAGCCCCATGTGAGCTAGAACCAGCATAATAGATGTCGGTTTCTGGTTTCGCCGCCAAGAGGCGATCCTCTTCTAACTCAAGATGGCGCATGACATCTTCAAAGGTCTTGATATTCTCATTATGGGTCAGGTGCACCTTCATGTGCTCCTAGCTTTGAGGCAAGGAACGGATCACTGCTTGCACTTGCTGTTCATCAGTCAGAATGTGTCCAGCATCTTTCAGCTCAGCGATCATGTTCGACATCTTTCTCAGGTGTTGTTTCATGGACTGACCATGAGGCTTCTTATACGAGTCAAACCTTATAGTGAGCTGTCTCAGCTTGGTCACCGATGTATGACCAAATCTCGCTGCTAATGCTTCCCACATCTCCTTGGCATTCTCAAAACGCCTGAACTCTCGCATGATATCATTCTCCATGCTACTCAGCAATGTGATGCGAGCAATGGAGTTCTTCCTTTTCCATACAGCAAATGCATCCTTATCTCTCTTATGTTGTGCAGTGTTTCCGTCTTCAGGCTCTACCATAACCAGGTTAAGAGCTTCAAGAGCCTCTTGCTCTTCCAGCACATATTGGATTTTCATATGCCAAATTTCATAATTATCACCGTTAAGCTTCTCTCCTTTGTTCAGTTCAGCAACTATATTCTTTGATGCTGAAGTCATGGTATCTGAACATTTCAGATATATACGCACGAATTATTAATGCCACTCATTTATGCATCAATTTTACAAAAACTGATTATATTAATGGATAATTTCACATAGGCTTTAGATTCGAAAGTTCACTATGTTCCCAATCATCATAAAAAATCCTAATGTGAAATTACCGTTAATGTAATCATTAAAGTAAAATTACGTTCTTTAAAGTTACTAAAACTTTTAGAACTCCCACTTTACCAGATAATATTAATAAGACAGATATTATAATAAAATAGTACCATAAACTATTCACAATAATAAATATCCATCAACATTCAATCACTAAGTACTATTTACATTAGGAAAGAAACTAGCATAGAAAAGAAACATCAACATCAACGTGAACAGAAATATCCACCTAGGATATCTTAAACCGAACTAAAATAACATAGAAGTCAACGATTCCTAACTATCCTAAGAATTAGGAAAAGACTTAAGAAAAACTTCATTGTCAAAACCCTTTGAAAGATCGATGGTCGTATCGGTTAGCCATGAAAAGACCGTCGGAAATCCCTTGGGTTTTCCCCATGGCGCATTTATTTTGCGCCAGGATGAGTTCATCCCAAGAGTTGACGTCTTCTTCGCCCCAATCCTTATGAATTCCTTTAGAAAATCCACAGCAAACTGTTTGTATTCTGGAATCCATAGATCACCCCCATCATCCCATCCACCATCCTCAAAAAATATTATCTCCGGACCCTTCCACAAATCATCAATCAGCATTTTCCACTCATACAGAAGAGTGGTTCTTAGGGCATCAATCTTTTCTGAATCCAACATATGGTATCCATTCGAGATGATATCCCGTATTATCTTGTTAACCTTCATAATGTGCATATCCATGTGACATCCATCCCAACGATAGGCAGCTAAATCAGCTTTTAATTTCGCAAGAGTATTCATTTGTTCATCCATCCTCACGACTATCGGTGTGTGTTAATGGTACGCCTTTGTTCCTGCAACAAATGCAGAACAATAAAGGATTAACATATAATCCATTGAACATCACAATAGACATTCCAATATGCACATATTGCCACCGAAAAAACGCTCCAATTCAAGCTTCCACGCAAATTTTTTTTTTTGGTGGTCAACGCCGATCAACGACGGTCAACGCATGTCAACGGTCAAACGGATGACCGGGTCAAGTCAACGGGTCACATGGGTCGGGTCACGGGTCGGATCGGGCTTCCGGGCCGGGTCTAAATCAACCGGGTTGGGCAACCGCGTGGCTGATGTCAGCGTGACGTCAGCCACGCCGCACACGCCCTCATGGCGCGTGCGGTGCACGCGCGTGGGGAGGAACCGCCACGCACGTGCCACGCACGTGCCGGCGAGACCGCCACTTGCGGCGGCGCGTGTGGGCGCGTGCGGCTCCTCCCGGCGGCGTGCCACCCATCAAAATGCTCGTTTCGACGAGTACTACGAACCTAAGCCTTCAAAAAATAATTTTGACTCACGGAAATCGAGAAACGACCTCGAATAGTACGGCCGGGTGTCGGTTTTTCGTACCCGAGCGTTCGTCGGCGCCGTTTCACGAATTCCGGCCAATATTCCGTGTTATGCACACTAGCAACGATCAGGAAACAAGAACACATGCTCTGATACCAATGATTAAATGCACCACTTGCAGGCTTCAGAGTTCTTGGCGGATTCCTCTGCGAAGCGGAACTTTGTTTGCACTTTGGGAGACCTTTTTTAGAACTACGTTCTACAGAGAAGATTTTTTTAGATACACAATCACGTATCTTTTGAATATCTCCCAGTTCAATTTAAACTGCCCTTAGCAGTTACTACTTTATCCGTAACCGCCTTATCCGCAAGTAATCCCTCAATGGATGATGGGCCGGCATGATAGATCATGGACCGGTCTTTCCCAACATGGGCGGCCCACATAAGATCCATCAATCGCATATCTCTCCCCTATGGTGCTGCCTGTAAACATAGCCAGGGCAAAGTAGCAGATGATCATCCAATGCAACTTTGGTGCTTTCACCGAGGATAAGAAGATAAATCTCGATCCAAATACACAGCTCCATAACAAAACAAGTCCTCATACAAGATATTTCTGTATCACTCGGATTTGCAAACCTAACACGAACCTTAGAAATTTCCACAAATCATAGCTTAGATTTTAACAAGGAAAGACGAGAAGGTACCCATTCATTCTAGAGCTGACAGTAGCATTAGGATAAAAGAACTCGATCTTAGAAAAATAGGCATTCAAACCCCTCTAGAAAATCCCCTTACATTGTGAATCGGACAAAAAGAAGAGGGATCAACATATAGTATTCACGTAAACACATACGAAAAGAAAAACGCTTCCGAAATCATAGCACCGTTTTAAGAAAGAAAAAGCAAAGGGAAACAAGATGTCAGTCAACCTTGGGAGCCGATCCTAGCATGATAAGTGAAAACAATTTCACGGAAACAGGCATTCACACCCCTCGATAAAATTCCCTTCTATGGTGAGTAAAGAAAAGATAGTGACCAAGATCTAAGCTTCATGTAATATATGTAGAGAAGAAACTCATTTTACGCAAGAAATTAAGAACCTAAATTCTATATTGGATATCTGACCAGAAAAACCAAAAAATATTCTATATTGGATAAGTACCTTCAGTCATGTCTACCCTGTTCTTGACACCAGCAACAGCTAGTGCTCCGCCAATAAGTTGAGCAACCACCGACTCTGGCTCCTTTATTATCAATGGGAAAACCGTACAATCGAAAGGCGCTGTGAGAGGAGGGAAACGGAACACATTTAGTCGTCCATCCCCCGCTTTGCCAGGCCTTGTATAGAAAGAATGCTCAAAAAGGCAGTATATTATGCGTCCAATGCCGAACGACGGTTCAATAACAGATGGTGCATACTCATGTTCCCTTATCTTCTGCTTAGAAATTTTGACCATGTCATGCTTGATTACTACTCTCTTCCTCACCGTGGGTCCACGGAATACAACCTCTCCTTTGGATTCTAAAGCAGCCTTCAACAGCAAAGCTTCCTCTTCACCCATTGCTTGGTAATAACAAAGACAAATGCAAGCATCAAGTAAAGGAAAAGATTCCGAACATACTTAGCGAAAGAGCAAAAACCAAGGAACCTCCGGCATATACCAAACGAGATTCAACCACCATCTTTTGATTTTCCTTCAAGGCGAGACCTAGTTCCTTCTCGTTTGGAGCAATTACTAGTTTCAACATTGATACTTCAATTAGTTAATCATGATAACAAACTCAAGCATCCACAAATAAAGGGCAGAAACCTGCTACATGCACTCCCAGAATAGCTAGCAAAATTAACCAGTCTGAAGAATTACCACTTCTCTGGGTTCAGCAAATTCTTCATTGGCAACAAGAGCAACTCCACTTTTCTCCTGTCAAATGATAATAATCATCACTCCAACTAGATGCCTCTATGATTAGCGGAACATATACATCTCTAAACTTTCTCTTATCCAGTTCTCAACCCCCTCTAAATGTGCCGGATAATGTTTTGCATCAAACTGTATATTAGACAAAAGACTATAAGTGTGCAACAACGGATACCATATGTCGTCCATCAAATGGTTGCCACACAAGACAGCTAAAAAGAGAACCTATGCAATGTAGCAAAACCACACCTTGCTTTACAGAGATCATTGAAGAAAGAAGTTATATGGATAAAATGAAAAATAAATTTTATTAATTTCTTAGGCATGTCGGAAGCTTATGAAGAGTTCTGGAAGGATTTCAAAAAGACTCAAGACGACCTTATGATAAAATCATTTCACTTATTGAGATAACAAAATGATGCAGCTGTTTCTTTCAGTATTCCTGACCGCGCGCCTTCTCAAGAAAAGAAAAAAAAGAAAAAGAAAAAGAAAAAGAAAAAGAAAAAGAAAAGAACTTGAAAGAAGGCAACGTAACTCTTACCTTATGTGCTCGTAATTCATATGCTGGTCTATATGCAATATCAACACACTCGATCCAACCATAGGAACACTCAATTTCAGCAACCCAACAATCTGCTGCATCGTGTGCCAATTTGCCCCCAAGACGTTGGCTAAACCGCAAGCGATCCTTGTCTATGCCGAGGCGAGTTAGAAATAGAAATGTTCTCCCAATGAAGTACCCAAGAGTCTCATTGTTAACAGTTCCCTAAAGTTAAACGTCGAAATTTGTGAGACTCAAAGTGAACAAGTTGGGGGAAGAAAACTCAAGTCCAAAAGATGATTCGAGCTAACCTTGAAAACTGCTTCACCAAGCCGAGTTCTAATAGCAGATTGGCCAGACATCTGTTGTTCCCCTGGGAACATAAGCAATTCCAGATCTACAACTTCAGAAAACTTTGGATGGGATTTATCTTCCGGATCGACAAAATGCTCGAACTCGGCGACGGTGAACTCATGGACGATCAGAAGACAATTTTGAGGCGAAATCTACGGGCGTGAAATGCATCAGAATCAATCGTAGATTAAAATATAAGGGCCGATGAAGATAATGACAATATCTCTAATGCAGCATTGGAGACCACGTTTTTGAGCCCATCGACTAACAAGACAATCAAATCTTACATGAAATGTGGTCTTGAGACAAGTTATGCTATGCAAGAGTATCAGCGCAAAAATCATGCATAAAAACCCAAGCACGTGAACACGCGCAATTTAGGATGGTATGAAAGAATGACGCACAACCTCTTCTCTGAAAGCCCGACTACCATGAGCGACAGCAAAGGGGAGTTTATTGCCCTTAAACTCATGCAGGTATTTGAAATCTGCAAAACAGCCTTGTGCAGGTTTTGGTCGCACGTATCTACAGTAGATAAACATTTTAGAAAAAGGAACATAATTTGCTTGAAGTCTACACCATTGGCATGACTGGTACTTACTCAGGGAGGAAACCAGATGGGCCTATATAATCTTGAAGCATCACGTTGAACGGATAGGGACCAGAGAGCTGATTTTCGGTATCTGGAGCTCTTGTGATACCATATTCTTTTATCTTGGCACACAATTCCACATCAGAGAGAGAAGACAAAGTCGCGAGTACTCGCTGGACTTCCTTAGCCTTCTCTGGACTAATGATCGAATCCTTTTGGTGGATCATCTCATTTAAAAAACCATTGAGCAGATGGTCAGCTCGAAAGCAAGTCCCAGTTTCCTCATCCATCATCATAACTACAGTACATTTGTCCAGATGCCCCACCCCTTTAAAGAGAATCGTCGGAGTGGGATAAGGCAAGCCAGCCGCCGACATGCGCTCTTTAAGAACAAAATGCTAACAATAGAAAGGAAAAAAAAAATTAACACATCTGCTACTATCCACGCCAATTCGACTCAATTCCATGACTAACCTTACGCCAGAACCTCAAGACTCTCGACTCGATGGCGCTGCCGGGCGGGCTGTATTCGTAGATCCCGTCGACACCCCGGTAACTCTTAGGCAAGGCAATGTAGAACTCGCGGCCCTTGATCGAGCTGTGCACCATCTCACGGAACGCCTCCCTGAGGGCGCCGTCGCGGTCGCCGGCGAGGGCTTCGTCCATGGCGGGAGAGGTCGGGAGAGTCGGGGAAGGAGAGGGAGAGGGAAGGGGAGATAGAGAGACGAGGTGGAGATACGAGAGCGAAGTTGAATTTTAGGGCTTTTGAGAGAGGTGTTTTCGACAAAATAAAAATTAAAAATTAAAAAAAGAAGACGGTACGCATTCACCGTCATTCAATATCATAATCAAATTACATAGTCGTGAATATCTTCATTTATATAAGACCGGAACGCGCGATCCAATATGAATTACATCTTAATCCACCATTTTCGAACAACAAAAAGCCGAACCTCTGAATTCATATCATACATAATAGTAAAATATAAGGACTTGATAACGGTCAGAAAGTTCCTTGATGTAGGAAAATTTTATGCGCAATTAATAAAATTATTGTTGTGTCGTGAAAAAATGATAGAAATCTCCCTAAGAAAGTACTTCAAGGGACCAGTTGCAGAAAAATATAGGAATTCTCCCTGAGGGTGCTGTCGCCGGTGAGGGCTTTGTGGAGCAAGCATTCGGCATGGTCCGTCGCTGGAGAGGTTGGGGGAGTCGGAGAGGGAGAGCGCGAGAAGTTGATTTTAGGGTTTTCGAGAGGGATATGAGTTGGGGCTATTTTGGGGATTCTTGCCAATTTCATGGAAATTATGATTCTTTTCATGTACGGTTTACACGTCTAATTAGAAAATAAAAGACATTGTTCATCGTTAATTTAATAAACAATTTACACGTCCCAATTAGATTAGTGACAGTTGTGCTTGAACTTAATTATCCATTAGAATGCTCTCACATATCAATAATTCACTGAAAATTATGTAAATTATTTGAATAGGCGTTCAAAAAGTCATAAATTTGTTGTTTGACGGCCAATTTGGGCAATTAAATACGGGTGATCTGATCTCTAGATTGACCTAATTATGAGCGGGCCTAGCTAAGGAAATAGGCCCGTACGGCACGCCTAAGTAGGAGAGTTCTAGCTCCGGCCCGGCCCCCACCCACTAGATTACTAGCACATTCCCCTCTCGCAAATTCACACCATCGTTCATTCTCTCTCTCTTCGAGTAGCCCGCGGATCCTCGGTGTCAACACAAAAATTGGTTTTGTCACAATCGTGCCAGGATTAGCCTATCCGGTCCGTTGACCCGGTCGAGGAACCGAACTCTCCCTTAGATTTGCTCGAGTTCCCGAAACAAGGTCTTTCTTCATCAGCTCAAGTTCTCCGCGAGCGTGTGTTTAACTTCAAATCGGGTGGGAGGAGATTATTCCAAATATTTGGGCGGGCTTGGACTAGTATGGGTTTTGACCCGCCTCACCTAGTGATCAGGCCGCACCGAGCCTAATGTGTTGCGAGATCCCCTATATTACCTAACATGTACATTGAAATGTTTGATATGTCGAGCCTTTCAATATAAAAATCGTCCAGACTCTCTGACCTTTGGGAGTGGAGGCCTCGCGGTCACTCGCCCATTCAACGTGTCTGATGATGATGATGGACACGTGGCTAATCATTCGGGTACAACATTATTATGGAGATGTAAATGGGTCGGGCAAGCCGGGCTTTTATCAGAAAGTGGGCTCGGCCCAAACAATGGGACCTAGAATTTCCGGGCCTAATCGAATGGCCTAGACCAAATGAACACGATTAGCCCAATGCGATTGTTCTGGGCCTATTCGGTTCAAGCGAGCCGAACAAATATATATTAAAAGATCTAGGGTTCATGATTGTGGAAGTCCTCCTAAAACTCTTTTCCATTCAATCAAATCATAAAATTTATCTGGAACATACGCTTCAAAACTTTTAGTTAAATCCGTCAGTTATTTTATGGACGGCGGATTTCACATAGCAATTATATTTTATCAGTTTTTTCAATTTCATAGGGCTGTTAGCACAACGAAGAAGCTTCTTCGTCTCAATATTGTCATGTTAGAAAAATTTAAATATTTTGAAAATCTGGAATTATAAGGAAAAACAAATCTAAAACTAGAAAACGATAAACAACCGTAGGGCTATGCCGCCCTTCGTGTTTTTAGGGCAAGGGCGATCCACCGATTAGTGTCACGGCCTCCCCAAGCATGTGAGGGGAGAAGGGATGCTTGCCCCCGTCGCCGAAACCTAGCAGGGGCTTGTCAGCTCTCGTCGGCACAAAGGAAAAAAAAAGTGAAAAAATCAAAGAGTCTCATTTTCATTTTCATTTCATTTAATCATGTTATTGAAAATAATGTGTAATGTCAAGCTTGGACACATGTTAGCATCAAACGCCGCTTGTAAGATGACTCCATATTTGTTCACATGTCAATTGAAAAATTTTTTGGGGTTGCATGCGAACTCTAAATGTGTTTTGACTTTGTACTCCTCTCAAAATATGTTCACTCTTTCCTTCTCTGTTTCTTTTAGGGCTTATTTTGTTTTTTTGGATAATGCTTGCATAACGGTCCGTTACTCGTGCAGAGAGTGACGGACCGTTACTGACCACAAAATTTGGACTTGGAACCTTATGACTTGTTTGTCCGGTTCCTGTGATGCAAACTAAGAAACAATTCTTTTATTCGTTATTTTTTCCCTTGAAGTCTGCAAACTTGTTAAGCAGAGAATGTGTAAACAAGTTATAAAAATGATTTTTTCATCTTTTTATTTGTTGACAAATTTTCAAAAACTAGTTTCCTTTAAAAAAATTCATGCCACATGAAAACACACAAAAATTTTACAATATGCATCTAGTGCAGGTATGTCTGCTTTTTACCTATTGACCCAACTCTAAAGAATTTTATGTAGTATTCCAATAAATCATTTGAATTTTGTGTTTAGAGACATTTGCAAATAAGATGTTATTTTAAACATATGATAAACGGCTGATATGCATTATTTAATGAGATATCACATTTGGATTGAGACGCATTATTTGGCAGATAATTAATGTATTATGCTCTAATTGATCAATCTAATGTGATTGATTATAGTAAGCACGCTTTAAAGGGCCTATTTTATTGTGAAAATATCATTTTTTGGGCGGAGGAGTACTTTTATAGAAGCAATATTTCTATCTGTTGCAAAATTATTTGCACCTAACCTGAACAAAAAACTCTAAGGAAAAAAAAAACGCTAAAATAAGACAGAGGACCAAACTTGACCTTTGGGTTGCCCGTCTCTCTGAATTTGGAATATGTGGCTGGGAGTTCACCGTTATTCTTGAAAATAACGGTGAATGTCAGCCTAGCGGCACCCTTTTTTTTTTTTTAGTATTGTCTTTTAGGGTTTATTCTCCCTCTTGCTTCCTGATTTTTCAGATAATAATTAACCTGACATCAGGGCGTTGCATCTGTCTTTCAACCTCAAGGCCGACGACCAGGGATACATCTATACGTCTAAGCGTACATGTAAGTATGTATGTATGTATCCTCTTCATGAACAAGCTTACTTTTTGTTCTTCTGATAAATCTTTTCTAAAGGGTATTGCTCATCTTCCCTTACCTTTTCTTTCTTCTTATAGCCCGGGGTACACGAACTTTCTTTCTTTGGCTTGTTATTTGTCCTCCTTTTGGTTGATTTGAAAATGGGGTGGTCCACAGGTTTTGTTTGAAGAAAGCTCGAGCGTAGGAAGGTGATACTGACTAGGCCCAAGAAACTGAACTGCATTACTTATGAAATGGTACTAAATCAGAAGTAAAGGATTGTCCTGAATCCTAGTAACATGTCTACGCATTTTCACCAACTTCATATGCATCGAAATCCCCAGTCAATGTGTGCACAGCAAAAAATATGAAAAGCGCATTTGTTTCGTACCGCAGCATACGTTCGAGTACAATTTGTGCGAAAAATGCGAATTAATGCATCAAATCTGTCAAATCTCCGGTGTCTTCAAATGCGGAACAGAAATGAACATGGCCATGAAACGATGATCCTGAATTAATAATTTTCAACCCACATTAACGTCCATCTATCGGTTTCCAAACCATGCCAACATCAGCAGCTTAGGAAATATAAAAACTGAAAAAATAGCAAAGGCTTCATGACTTCATGCGGCATACAGAGCCTTTCCGATCTGGAGCGCCACGAAAGCGTCCATGCACGCGTATCGGACCTGTGCACTCGTCAGCCACAGCTTGTTCCACTGGCTCACCGTGACCCGATTTCGCTTCTCCATCTTCCACCCTAGTATCAGCTTCGCTAGCACCTTCAGCCCGCAATCCTGTGGAACCTCTAGGCCTGCATTATTGGCCAGGGACCTCAGGTCCCTCGCGTTGCTGACGTTGAGGCCATAGTTGCGGACTAGCTTGTTGACGCTTTTAGCGATTTCGACGCCGACGAAGATGTGGCGGTCGTTGCTAAGGAAGTCTTTGAGGGCCTGGGGATCTCGGACGAGTGTAGGAGCTGGAAGATGAGGCAGTGAACACCCATCAAGAGCTGTAGAATGGCAGCAGGGTTACGAATGCCTTCCGGGCCTGCTAGCCACTCGATGTAAGGCCGACGACGAGGTGCTCGGAGCCGCGAGACGAGCCAACGACGAGCTACTCGGAGCTGTGGGACGAGAGCCAAGAGGAGGCGACGGAAGGGGAGTAGGTGAGGAGGGTATGGAGGGTATGGCCTTCAAAAGTGACCTCATATTCGTTGTGGTCGCTTTCGAGGACCTCGTGGTTGAGGATCGCAGGCGTGCTTGAAGACATGGCGTAGAGAAGAAGAAGAAGGAAAAGAAGAAGTGAGATCAGAGGAGAGTGAGAGAGTTGAGCCAGAATGCTCATTCAAGGAAATCCATTTATAAGAGAGTCATTTCCCAGAAACGAAGACTCGTCTTTCGCTCAAATCGTATTAACTAGAAGCCCATGTGCCGTCCTCGGTGGAAAGACGAGTCTTCGTTTATGGAAGAAGTGAGAGGATGAGTCGTAAACATGAAAATGTCAACAAATTTACAGCTGAGCTTCGGTTTGTACTCGCAAGCAGATGACCGAGAATGGCAAAACTCTCGGCCATTGTCATCTCAATTCCTCTGCAGAACATTAAATATTTCAGACCCGTACATGTACCATGCTGTGCTCTTTATATGTTAACATGTTTGTTTCTTACTTTGTCAAACCCGTGTACTCTGCAGAACATTAAATATTTCAGACCCGTACCTGTACCATGCTGTGCTCTTTATATGTTAGCATGTTTGTTTATTATTTTGTCAAACCCGTGTCTGTACCATGCTGTGCTCTTTATATGTTAGCATATGTACATGTACCGTGCTCTTTAAATGTTATCATGTGTTGTTTGTTCCTTTGTCAGACCCGTACCTCTATCATGCTGTGCTCTTTATATGTTAGCATGTTTGTTTCTTACTTTGTCGATTCTGTTTTCATTCAACCACATAATCACTCGAGTTGGTTGCAATATTTGGCCGAAAAAGGAGCCGCTTTCGGTAGATCTGTGACTTCTGTCCCGATGATTGTTCGAGGACTCGAACTCGCTCTAACCACGACTCAAATTGAATGTTCAAATTAATATGTTCTTAAACTTGTGATTCCACGTCTTGCGATGATTTTGGCATAGATCAGCTCAACCTTCTTTTTCTTTTTTGTGCGCTCGGTATGAAAGGTTCATATGTTCATTTTTTTGGTTTTTCCATTTGTCTCTCTCTACATTACGATGTTAAATATCTAAGTCCGTCTTTTAAGCCTGTTTTAGTTACTACTTGAATCGCATCTAGTAAATGGAGAAATTAATATGTACATCTTTGACTCTGTGTGATTGCTACACGATTTAGTCGTTGAATCTACTGTTAAGTGGCTATTTGGCAAGTGACAATCACTCCAAACACGAGCAACATATCATTTGAGCGTTTGAGCTGGTTTTCATCCGCAACTGCATGCAGAAATGCCTCCGAAGTTCCTGATGCATAATCAGAAGAGACGTGATGTAAGCATCTCCATGATGGCTGAGTCAGACAGTTTGCTTTTCGACGAACTTCAGTTTGCCACAGGACCAAATGAAATATTTCAATCGCTAGTTGAAAATCACACTGCACCATATGACATGATCTTATATAATCAACAAATATATAGTTGGATATCTCCTTTCTGCTCCGATATAAGCTGACAAAATATTTCAGGATTATGAAGCATCCTAATCTATACGGCGAATCGCGGGGAACCAAATATAGAGTGATTAAGTTGTAGAAACGTCAATTAATTGGTACTCTAATTTTGTGGTAACATGACCCATTCAACTAAGCTAGCAGTAAAATACCTAAAGGGAGAGGAGAGAGGAGTATGAGCACAAAGGAATTATCCTAAATGCCATCTCATATTATTTTCACTTGCTCTTCACAATGATTATATATGCAATAGCAGCAAATCTTAGATCCATATTTAAAGAAGAAACATCACTAACCATTCATAGCCAAGAAAAAGATGTAGATGCAGTAGTAGCGGAGGACTGTTGGTGCGTCTCCATCACTCCATTTTTTACCATATAACAACCTTATCAGGGAGTAAGAGTAACTTGGGCCAAAAGCAATAAATATAAGACCTACAAGGCATGTAATCATAGATAACATGAGAGAGAGAGAGAGAGAGAGAGAGAGAGAGAGAGAGAGAGAGAGAGAGAGAGAGAGAGAGAGAGAGAGAGAGAGCATATTCAAACAGGATATTGCCACAGGTTTTAACAGATGAAACTGGTTATAGTATTCCATTCACGCTGTGTCTAGTGAGGAACATGATAGGTATATTATAAAACCTGAATCCTCATTACTATCTTGCTCAGACACTCTTAAAGTTGAAAAAATGTGTGATAGTACAGCAAATCACGTTTGAGTTTCAAGTCAATGACCTTTTGTTGGTAACAGAAAAAATAGGAAGGCACAAGACAACTAGGTCGTAACATCTACTGGAATTCAAGTAAAAGATATGCCAAAACAGTCTACCTAACTCATCAAGGAGCATAAAGCAAGTGACTAATAGAAAAGTGTCATTGCTTTAATTAAGGTCTAATGTTTAATAAAGGAAAATTGCAGATAACAACAAAGCTAAGAGGTGTATAACTTTAGTTAGACACTGTTGTGCATCTATTCGATCGGCCAAAATATAGGTCAAGTAAAAGACTCAACCACTTAGAATAAGGCCAGGGGCATTATGCAAGTCCCATTTCAGTGTCTGCTTCATTGCGCATAGATTAGATAATAAAGCAATAAGAAATTCTTGATCATGCCTATAAATATACAGATAAATGGAACGAAATAACTTTTAAACAGCTTCACTCTTTAATAAGCACGATCTGGAGATTAAATTACATGCTAATTACAAAAGGATATAGAAATCATAGCTGCGAAGACATTGATAAGCAATTATCATTCAGAATGCTAAGTGATTGTATGTTTCTGGGGTTCCTCAGCCATGCACATAAAACAGCATTACATAGCAGCCCATATTGAGAGTTGTATGTTAAATGTGGAAACAGAGGGTTGAGAATAAGAAATTCTCAAATAAAACAAATTAAACTAAGTGAAACATACCTATCAACATGACAAGTTTAAGGGCCTCTGTAAGACTTCTTCCTATCTTCTGACTTCTGTCTGAACTTTGTCCTGTAAGGACATAAAAATATAAAATATAAATAAGTTGTTGAAACTAATGTAGATGATGCATATACACACGACAATTAAGAAATAGCATATGACTGGAGTGCAAGTTATGCCTATAACTCCAAGAATAAATAGATTGGAAAACTTTTGAACCATGTCAGCAATCATTCCTCATGATACAGAAAAGATAAAAAAGACGTAGTTTTACCACCAAACTATGCATGACTTGCTTGGGAGAGCGTTCCATAAAGCCTAAAGCAATCCAAACATGCATGCATGCACGTGCAGACAAATGTACTATTCATGCCTTCCAGGAAGATACCTTTAGACAAAGCTTAAAATATGTCTCTACGAGTTTGCCAGAAACATGCAAGGTCACATATGTCAAATCACCACTTCCATGGATTTCCAATAAGAAGTTCCTATTAACTTGTATCCACCCAATTGTTGCTATGTTTTGAAGGAAAAACTTCCCTCCATGGTTGGTCATGCCAGATCTCAATACACACACCAGATATTACAGTGGAAATGGGGGAAAAGATCCATGTCGCAATTAAAGGGAAAGCCTTGGTCATGGTTGTTAGGTGGTTGGTCATGTTGGATTGTAACAGAAGCAAAAGATCTCCCCGTAATAGCAACATCAATATTCTTTACTGTCCTCAATATGAAGTGTTAATCAACACAAGGTGAAATCGCAACAGATGCAACGAGTGTCGATTGACAGTACAGATAGCCAGACAGATATGTAGTCATGCTCTTTTTCTGCATGGCATGACAAATTATATTTACCCAGAGGCAGTGTTTCTTCATATTCTCACCAAAATTTGAAACCCCGTGGAATTTAAAAGACCATTTCAGTCACAGATTCTATAGAAACGAATTGCTATTCAGCTAGTCAGCTAGAGCAAAACCAAAAGGTGTCATGACTATACAGAGAAACATGGAACCAACATAAGATAGATATCTTTACATCTAAAGAAAAAGGACAAATAAAAAAAGAGAAATAAACCTGATGCGGACCTTGCAAATGCTGTATACGAACTTTCTTCAAAGGGAAGGAACACCAGCCTCACCACGAGGCTCCCTGATAGTCATTCAAACATAAAGCACAGGAAAAAGCAAGTTAAAAGCCCAATTCATGCGATTAGAGTATGACCATATCCATAACATCTAGTGCGTAGAAAGGTTACTAACTATACACAAGAACAATGTACCAAAAGCCTTACCTAGTTTGTCTACTAGGCCATATACAGCTTGATTATATGGTGTATCAAACCATACAAGAACCATCTTTTCTCCTTCTTGAAGGATCAACTTTCGAAATGACTGAAAAGTGAATATCATGGACATATTGGCAAGCTGACAATCAAAGTGTGCCATACCGCTCACTCTGCAAAAGCATAAGTTCCAGCTAAATTATCTTCACAGCATAAGAAGACAGAAGAGGAGCAAAGCAGAATATATGAAGGCAAACCAAATTGTATCTGGTATGAGAGTAACATGGACAGAAATGGATTTATACCTGAAAGGAAAAAGATCAGAACTCTTGAATGAACTTGAGAAAAGGTAAAAACCGCAGTAACCAAAGAAGAAGCAAGCTCCATATGCAACTTGTGACAATGCAAATACAATCCCCTTTTCCTGCAGAATCATTTAAAACGGCTCCTTTGAGTAAAGGACAAGCAACAATTATTGTGATATACTGAGAATCCACTGTTATGTCCACATACTGAAATCCACATTACCATTTGCTAAATCCAACGGAGAAAAGGCACAACTTAAATTTGGATCAACCTCCCTATCTGATTTTTATATTGCAGAGTTGATCAAACCAGAATGTAATATGTAAATAACTGCTCATTAAACTCATCGATCAAATGGGGTATTTCAACAGCAAAGCATCTTGAAAATTAAACGTTTGGACCAACTATCCACATTGAAGATGTAGGATAGGCAGAAGACACAAGAATTCACAAACTGAAGTATACTAAGTAGCATAACAAGCAGAACCAACCAGCCCAACAGCAAGGTAGATATCTTCTATTTCTTGTATAAGAGTTTTCATAACTAGTAGCCAGAAACTTTACCATGTTAGTTTGCTTAACAATGAGTATATACACTGTTAAGCAAAGTAAAAATGTTGCTGCTGTCTCCACCAATAACTGTAATTTGAGCAGGAGCAGGTCCTGGGAGAGGATATAAAAAGGCTCAGCCAAAAGTTCCAACATACATGCAAAACCTGCATAGCCAAATATTGTCATGGTGAGAACTGTTTAATGCATTAGATTACCAGAAAAGTACATACGACGAAAAGAAAACAAGAGATTAGAACAAATACTTCTGAAAAAGCGTCTTGCTGATGTGATCTGATTGGAAGAAATCATGTGGAAGCAAAAGTCTTGAAGCCTTTGACTAAGGCAGAGGGATCGTAATACAAGATACTTTCCACAGAATGGCTAGGGTTCATAGGCGATGCAATTTTGAATAGAATGGAAATTGATAGGAATACTTTTGAAGACATTAATCTGCTAAAGGAGGATATTGGGAACTACTATAGACTTGTGACGCTCGTCCTCGTCCCAAGGACTTGTCTTTTGAGCGCATTAGTGAAGACATGGCATCGAGTCTTGAGCTAGCTTTTGAAGAAGATATCAAGAATGCTATTATGCGTAGTAATAGGGATAAAGCACTCGGTTCAGATGGGTTTACTTTGGCTTTCTTAAAGGAGAATTGAGAAGTAGTGAAAGATGGTTTGGTGACAGTTTGTCATTAGTTTCAATCGAATGGTGTTTTGTCAAAGTATTAAGCTACTTTTATCCACTTATTCACTAATAAAGGTGGAAAACAACTGAGCTGGTTAACTACTTAAGCAAGTGTTATCCAATCTAAGGCCACAATATTCTAAATCAGCAAGCCAAAAGAGCAGAACAACCAAAGGATGCTTTAAGGAAATATTATAACAGGTTCTGCACATGTTATGCAGAAGGTTAAAGTGCTATTCAGAGGTGCCACTTAGAACCAAACACAATGAGTTCAATTTGCAAACCACTTACAAACAATCTGCAAACTTACTACTCAAAGTCTGATAAGGATGGAAGGTTACCATTTATAAGAATGGCTTGTGCATATGGGTCAGAATAACTTAGTTCCTGCCACCAGAAGATAAAAGAACAGGCCGCAGCAGTAATGGCTAGTCCAAGTGGTATAGTCATCCAAGCAACTTTCAATAGCTTTATAACATTTTCTCCTGCTGAAGCTCCATTGCTATAGCATCACAAGACATTATGGTAAGTATTTATCTATAACTTCAAAAAAACCTATGAGTCGGAAACAGAACCACAAAGCACAAACTCCTAAAAGTAATGCAGATGAACATCAAGGTCTACATTTTTTGACTTGTTACCTACATAAATTCCAGATATTAGTTCATGTGTACTACTACCACACACCAACAGCTGACTTCTTTTTCTTTGGATATATAGAGGATTAGATACAGGTAACAATGGACCCGGAGAAAGCTATAAAGGTTTTGATTGAGCACAAACTTATGAAAACACAGGTAGCAAAGACAAACTAAACAGCAGCCTCCAAAAGTCCGACAAGAGATGGAACTATATAAAACTAGCTCCAGTCACTAGACCAGCAAACAAGAGAAAACTTGATTGACAATTGTAAATGGCCATTAAATATGTGAATCTGACATGGGAATTTTTCAAAGGATATAACAATAGATAGCACTAGGTGGCATTCGTTATTTTTCAATAGATCCAAAACACCTAACCAGAAGAAGTTTGCTTATTTACTGATGCTGTCTCCCCTACAATATACAAACATAGACATAACTTAGCAAGTAAACACTAAACTTGAACACAGATCCAATAGTGCCAACTCATTCAAGCGCCAGTTAGTATATATGCTTCGACCAAAAAAAAATTAGTATATACACGACGTCAGAATGATAGAAAGTCTAACAGCACAACTGTCACCAATATGCATACATGAAAGAGCAAGGAGAAGCACCATTGAATGTCAGCTCGCATGCATGCTCGACGAAATCCCTCCCGACTGAGGAACAACACACAGGTGATGAACAGATGAAATTTTACCGCGTAGAGCTGCATTAATAATGACACAGAAATTTCAGTCTAATCTACAGAGACACAAAGCAGAAGATCATAACATGACATAACATAACAGATGAAAGACTTAATCTATGTAATATCGGAATACATCACAGATAGTACAGGATGCGAGATTAGAGAGACCCAGCATCAGGGGATAAGGATTAACCGCTAAAATTCCACCTTCATACGTCATAACAGGGTCTCTCGCTTATATGCAAACTCAGACATTCTAGAAGAATGAAGAATAGTTAGCCTGCAAGAAACTCCCGCGAACACTAATTTCCCATTCCATGATGCCGGAAGGCAAACTAAAAGTGTGCATATACTAAACGACTGCAAGTCCAAATTTTTACCGGCTAATAAACAACACCTGATAATGCAGCATCAGTGAACATTTCAACAATTAAGAAAGGAAAAAAAAAAGAAAAGGCCAGGACCATTCGAGTACCGCGTAATCATCTGCAGTGAGATGCCGCACTATCCACGTATTGAACAGAAAAGGCATTCCCCTGGCCAAAAACTGCGTAGCTGATTTCCACCATTGGGAAAACCAAGAGAAAGAAATCAACTTGCTCAGCAAAAGAAAAACGCACAAAACTACCAAAATCCGATCAAACAACACATCAAAAGCTACCAAATTGAGAAGAGATTAGAAGAGAAAAAGATCAAGGGATGCGGCACTGACCCAGTAAGTACTTGAAAGTATGAGAGAGACTACTCCGATCATCAGCCATCTCAAAAACCTGAACTGAAGCGAACTCAGGAGGATTAGCGTCGCATCAGTCGCATCATCATTTGTTTGTAACCTTCAAATTTCTATTTTCACTTCCATAATTGTCATCGAACAGCTGTTCGACAAGAACTTCCAGGCAGACGCACGGCGTCGCGAGTCGAGCAGCAACTTCCTGAAGGATCGGACAGGACGAGCGGATCTTTCCGCCGCGGATCTACGCGCTTCGCGCTCGGAGCAACAGCCTCGGCACGTCGCCGTCCACTGCCGAGCACGTCGACCAACAACAAGACTCGCTTAATCTACCCCCTCTGGAGCTTCGCAGTCGATTAGAGGCGCTTCGAATAGATGCTGAGAACCGCGGCCTCGCGGAGGCCGGGGGGAGCTCGTCGGCGTTCGCGGCGGAGTCTGCGTCGTCGCTCGTCGGAGGCGAGGCGCCACTGACTTCTGTTTTGTTTGCGCGACAGCAGGAGCTGATCGTTTTCGGGATCAATGAAAATGTATAAGGCTTACTGTTTCTTTATAAGGGGAAAATAACGCTAATAAGGCCCCCAACTTTTAATTTATTAAATATCATTATTAAAATATATATAATCCTTTTATTTTCTCAAATTATAAATTGGACGTTAATTTGATGACGTAGATTATTATTTATTGAGTTGAATTTTTAAAAATAACGAATTAATATATCCATCATTTTATCCATCTTTTAGATAAAAATTATATTAAATATTTACCGTTATTTGATGACATAGATTATTATATTCAGATTTGAAATGAATATCTTACAAAGACAATTCACGTGTAACTTTTTTTTTGGTCCACCGTCCAAATAGATTTCGTTAACTTGAATTAATAAAAGGACAATATTATACATTTTCATATAATCCAATTACTAAATTGAACATTTATCGATAATTTAGAGACCATAGTAAACAATTTGGGCCGGTTCCATTTTATACTTGAAACCCGAATCAAACCACTGAAAAATTACGGTTTTCTCCAAAGTTGAATGAAATTGAAGTTTGCCTAAAATTGATTTTGAAATTTGCTTGACCAATGAATCATGAAAAAAAAATCAAAATGTCGTATTAGGAAATTATCATTCTTTACTATTGATAATTGGTTATTAATGATTCTAGCCAACTTTCTAATTGAAAAGAAGTGGTTAGAGTCAAAAACAGAATTTTTTTACTTAATTGTCTAAGATCAAATTGAATAGAACCATGCCGTGTCGAAAATTAATACCCCTAACTAGATTTAAGGAGGATGTACTTTAATAATCTCAATAAGGCAGTGTCATAGTTAACCTTAAATTATGAGGCATGCCCGAAAGTGAAATGAAGAGAATGACATATAAAAAGAAGCCTCCGGTACCATTCATCAACCATGGAGTTGCATCAGATTAGAACATGAACTCGATACATCAAAACTATACATAGCAATTTCAACTTTCCTTTAGGAGGATAGAACGTCAGCCACTCCGTGAGGATGCATCGTGTAGGCCCCTGGAGCATCACAGATGGAGATCAACGAATGATTGTGTAAAAGAAATAGTTGCCTTTACTCTATTCCTAAGATCGGCCGCCATGCGATCAAAGCTAGGATCTCTGAACAGCAAGAACATTTCTTGCGTTTGGCGGAGCAATAGCCGTGACGGTGGCAGGGGCTTTGCATATCAGTCATGGGAAACTAGGGTTTTATATTATCCTCATTTTTAGAAATTATCTTTTCGATGAAATAAACATACCCTAACAACACATGTAAACATTGCGAAATTCCGCGTATTTTAGACTCAACATTAAGACAATTTCCATGAATATCTTCATCTATATAAGATCAGAATGTGAGTTCAAATATGAATTACCCGTCGAATTGCGTTATGAATCATTGAATCTACCCATTTTTTTTTTTTTGGTAAGGTTGAATCTACCCATTTTCAAACAACAAAAAATCAAAGTTTTGAGTTCATATCATATATAATAATAAAAAATAAGAACTTGATAACGGCCAGAAGGTTTTTTAATATAGGAAAATTTTATGTGCAGTTAACAAAATTATTGTGGTGTCGAGAGAAAATGATAAAAATCTTCCAAGGAAGTACTTCAAGGGACTAGTTGTGGAAAAATGTAGAAATTCTCACTAATTGGTAATTTGCAACATTCCAACATTGAAATTTAAACTTTTCACTCACCCCCGGGTACTGTTCATTGCAGATGCCCAAATTCTCTCTCGTTTCTGGTTCCCGAATTACTGTTCACCCGGTTGAATCGTCTGTGATTTTGGGTGTTTTGCTGGTCCGATTCTCCTGAAAATTGGAGGCTAGGGTTGCAAGATGCTCCTCCCAAACATCCTCTTTGGATTCTTCGTTTGGTGCTCTCTCTGGGCGTGTTGAGCAGATCTGGGTTGCTCGTTTGATGATACTATACACCCGATTGGATTTGTTGCGCTTATGGTGTTTTGCTGGTTCGTTTCCTCTGGAAATTGAAGGATAGTGTCACCAGGTCCTTATTTCTGATATGGCTGGTTTGGATTAACGTAATCCATGGCTAAGCATGATAAGTCCCGTTCGGCGCTTCCTCTATTGAAGCCGCCTGGTGCCTTGAACAAAGCTAAACAAGCTAAGCAAGATAAGCTGGTGAGGGAATCCCTTGGGAATGCCTCTACTGACAAGGCTGGCCCTTCCAAAGCCAACCCACGACCCACTACCCCTGTACAAGTCGTAACACATAATAGCGCACCTTCTTTTATAGACGTGGTGAATCCTGCTGAATTGGACCCGCAATCCCAGCGGAATGCTTCTCGTGGACGAAGCCTGCAAAGACAATCGTCCACCCTGCCTCATATTGATTCTGTTCAGCCTAGACAGAGCCGTAGCCATGGGCCAACAGCTGGGAAAAAACCCATTCAGGAATCGGTTCTAAACTCAGAACAGCGCTCTTGGGTAGCTGTAGTTAAATCAGCTGAGAAGGGGTTCTCTCTGTCATACATCCCCCCCACAGTTGTTGATGGGAGACCAAGTGTGCACATTTCGGAAGATATTCTTGAGAAAGCTGACCCAAAATGGAGTGAATGCATAGTGGGCTATTACGTTGGTAAGAAATTGCCATTCAAACTGACTGAATCTGTAGTAAAAAATGTCTGGGGACCTCATTTCTATGATGTTCTGGCAACTGCTGAAGGCTTCTACTTCTTCCACATTCCAGATGACTCCTTTCGGCGGAAGATACTGGATGGGGGGGCCAATCACCATCCTTCGGGTGCCCATGATATTGCAGCAATGGCACCCGGCTTTGAAGCTGCAGAAAATCCAGCATATATCTCTCCCCGTCTTGGTTAAATTGAGGGACATTCCTCTTGCTCTTTGGTCTGCCCCAGGAATAAGTGCTATTGCCAGTGCTCTTGGCAAACCACTCCACGTTGATATGCAAACTGAGCGGATGCGGATGATATCATATGCCAGGGTATGTATCGAAATCAAAGCCTCACAGCCCATGTTAGAGTCTATTGAAGTCTTTCTCAATAATGAAGCCTGGTCTGTCAAAGTTGAATATGAATGGCGACCTCTGACTTGTGCGAAGTGTGGCACTTTCGGCCACAATTGTGCTCCTCCGATAGCCTTGCCGATTCCTATTCGCAAGGACCCTAGTACAGGGGGCGCTACTGATGACTCTCCTATCCCTTCTGGTGACAAATGGGAAGTAGTCCAGAAACGTCATTCTGTGTTGCATCAGGATAATCTGGCCAAGTTGCCTTCCCACCCCACTCGGCTTAATCATTCTACGGATGATTTGGGCGACCAGACTTTGCCTGCTCCTGCTACCTCTCCTTTTGCTTCTCGATCTTCATCTGACGAAGATGATAGTGAGGACGACAAAACCAGCAGCATTGGTAGCTCTTCCGAGGAAGGCTCCCCTGTCCTGCCTTATACTCGTCCGCGAGATATGGAGCACTCTAAGGATAAGATCTCGGAGCCAGTTCGTTTACTTGCCATTCGAGACCCTTCCCCTGATCCGTTAGTGATCCCCAATAAGGTTAGCTCCTCTCCAGCAGCCAAGTTTGCCAACCCTAAAGCTAGGAAAAAGGGTGGCAAGAAAAAACGGTAATCGCTCTTCCGTTATGTGTTCATGTTTTTTGGAATATGGAATATTAGGGGCCTTAATGACCCCCTCAAGAAAGCTGAAATTAGATCTTTTGTTAGATCAAATAACCTCTCTTGTATAGGGATTCTCGAGACCAAGATCAATCAGTCCCTTTTTGAATCTACCTCTTCCGTGCTGTCGCCGGGTTGGGAATGGTCTTCGAACTACGAATTCTCCCCTCGGGGTAGAATATGGGTAGGCTGGAATCCGTAAGAAGTACAAATGCAGGTTCTGTCCATGTCTTCCCAGGCCATTCATGGTCAGATTAATTTGCAGGCCTTGAATAAGACTTGCTTTATATCGATTATATATGGAGAACACACTTTTGTGAATCGCCGATCCCTTTGGGCTGATCTGATTCATTCCAGCTCTATTTTTGCGTCTCACCCTTGGCTGGTTGTTGGAGATTTTAATGCCATCCGTCATCCTTATGATAGAACCGGAAGCTCAAACTCTTGGATCCCGGCTTTTAATGAACTTGGGGATTGCCTTGACCAAGCCGGCCTTGATGACCTCAGGTTTGTCGGTCATCGTTTTACTTGGTCGAACTCTGCTTCTGTTAATCGCAAACAAAGGAAAATTGACAGGGTCCTTATTAATGAACAATGGAGTAGTGACTTCTCCTTCTCCAAGGCTTCATTTCTTGCTCCTGGAATTTCTGATCATACTCCTATGATTGTTCGGGTTATGCCTCACCAACCGTAAAAAAAACCATTCAAGTTCTTCAACTTTTGGATGACACACCCATCCTTTGAGAGTACTGTTACCCAGGTTTGGGACTCGACCATCTTGGGTTCTCCTATGTTTGTTTGTTTTTTTTTTTTTTTAATGACCCAGGGAACCCCCGCACGGCCGACAGCCGAGAGGTAAACCCTGGGGGCGACACGTGCTAGCCACCACACACGTGCACCGGTTAAGTCACCCTGCGGCACCCGGGATTCGAACACTCAACCTTTTGCGAGAGGAAGAGTGCGCGCTCCAGCAGCGCCACCCAGGCGGGTGGTAGGGTTCTCCTATGTTTGTGTTATGTAGTAAACTCAAAATGTTGAAAGCGAGGCTTAAACTTCTCAATCGGGATTCTTTCTCCGGTATTCGACTCGCACTGCCTAGGCCAGGTTAGCTCTTACCTCTACGCAATATCTTCTTGTTACTGACCTTCTAATATGGCCCTGGCACGACTAGAAAGGGAACAATCCCGAGTGTTCTCGGCTCTTCGTCTTCAGGAAGAATGCTTCTTCAAGCAGAAATCTAGGATTAGATGGTTGACTGAAGGGGACAGCAACACTAAATATTTCCATCACTTTATCAATAAGAGACATCTTCAAAATCGTATATTATCAATCTCTGACAATGCTGGTGCTATCATTCGGG